GACAGTTATGTTCATGTCTTTACCACATATTTCATATGAGTGCTAAAGTATATTTTACTGATACTAGTGGTGCTGATTAAAGCTGAATCCTGAATGCTTGGCTGAGCTACCCTCCTGTATTCCTCCATTTGTATGACCGTTTTCCTCTGTTCAGAGTAATTTGGATATTGTGTCCATTGTGATTATTAGGTGCCTTGTGCTTATCCTTTCAATGGAGAGCCTGGCCATACCGAGTAATAGTAACATTTGTTTTGTAGATGTTTATATTTAATAAAGTCAGGTGTCTTGATGGCCACTATTTAAATGTATGTATTTCTGTAAATCCTCTTGGTTTAGTGAGGGTGCTCCAGCTTCCTGGAACTTCATGTAATGGCCATATAACTTTTAAATATAATTTTATTGTGTATACGTGTGTAGGTAAGCATAGCTAAAAATGCCTTTCAAATGAACATTAGACTAACAATGAAGAACGGTAAAGTGATAAAAGGTATAAGATGTGATGTAGTTTCTTTTTCAATTTTGTAGTGTTTTCCAAGGAAAGATATTGAAAGTTTAGTAAATATTCCCAGACCATTTAAAAGCTGAAGTGGTAGAACTGATGCAATGTTAAATAGAAAGTGCATGTAAAAACAGGAGGATGTGCAAGTGTATGGCTGCCAAGCATAATTTAAAGGTGGTTTTCTTAACTGTAGGGTTCAAGGTTATATGGATTAGCCATTCTGATGCTGTTATGAGAGATGTCTTCAAAAGCAGACTGTATACAAACTATATATCCCACTGTCTTAACAGGCATGTGACACCCAGTGCAATTCCACAAGGTGCTTTGCTCATCCAGCTAAGTACATATTGCTGTTATTTCCATTGAAACTGGTGGATGAGAAATTAAGTTAATTCCATTGCATTGTGGATGAAATTAAATATCTTCTAATGTGTACAGTTGATTGACATAGGAAGTTTTTATTTATATTAAAGGCAGCTTAGCTTATGAATGTATCGTAGCACTGAGATCCATGTTTCAGATGAAAATATAATTGTAGATTGTGTGCTTTGAGAACACGTTCATCTTCTACCTGTAGAAACTGACTCAGGTGGGGACTCTAATCATGGTCGCATCTTTTTCTAAACTACAGTGTGGTAGTGTTTAATCTGGTGAGTGAAATAGTGCTATCTACATGAGGAAATATATTCACCAAAGCCCAGATTCAGATGTTCTCAGTTCCTTAGTCTTGAAAACAACCATAACTATGTCAGTTGCTTGAAGTCTGCAAATACAGCAAGCATCCAGCTTATTTCCTCCTGTCTTCTTACTGAGCCTTGCAGTGTGTGTATTTTACTGTCTAATTTTAGAGAGGTAGAAATAATTCATCCTTTATGGTACAGATCAATAGACAAGTAGAAGCGGAATGGTACTTATTAAGAGATATTGAAAAGACTGTGATAACAAAGTAAAAATTGTATTACAGTCAATAAGCTGCTATGTGGAAAAGTTTAGAAACTCCCCATTTTGTGTTACTGAATTGCTTAAGAGGCCCATTTCAATAAGATCTATTACCTGTGGTTTTGTGGGGGTTTGGGTCTTCTTCAGTTTCCTCCTGTTACCAAGCTCACTGAAGATACAAAATAAGAAATAGAAATTCTAAATAGTTACTCACAGTTTATGAGTAACTAGGCTGGATGACCTGTAAGGAAGGGTTCTTAAAATGCAGCATACCTGCCTCTTGTGATATGCAAAAGATAATCCATCCTCGCTGCCTTTTCTCAAGAGAACGTGGAGGCCAGCCTCCTGCATTTACACATAGCCTGACCCAGCAATGCTGGAGGTGGCTGTCAGTATCACCGCTTTTGTGCGAGAAGAGGAAGCCATAGGGATGGACAGCAAAGATCAAAATGTTGCTGCTCCTGCAGCAAAGATATATTGCAGTTCTTTACATGGCAAGAGCAAGTGACAAAATTTTGTTTTAGAAGCAATTTTCACTGGTGTGTATTTACCCCTAAAGAACAAATATTTAGAAATGCATAATTTCTGAAATAATTAAGGAAAATAATTTTGTAGTAGATCAATTAAACATTTCAGTAAGTTTGAAAATTGAAATATCTTCCATTACTAGCCATTGATATTAAAGAAGTGTTGGAGGTATAGATTCTGATGTAGTGATGGTGGGAGGGAAGTTATTGTTCATTACTTTGTATTGGTAATCAGCATAACTACATTTTAATTATGTCCTGCACTCTACATCATAGACCATGGCTGTTGAATGAGTCAACATTGAAAATTTTGCCAAATCCTGTTCAGCGTGTAGTCTAGTGAACTGATGTACAAAGGTAGTGGTCCTTGTAAGAGATGAGGACAATGGAAATCTTTTGTTTGTTGTAAGTTGATTTATTTTGACTTTCCTGTGTTAGGGACATGTGTGGAACAGGAGCGTTTTTTCTGTTTATTTTACGCTGTGTTTTCTGTGGCCACCACTCACCCTTATTTCTTGATGGCACACAAATTTTTGAGAGGCAGGAAAAAAAATCCCAATTTTCTGTAAGAATGAACATATTTAAGTAAAAACTTTGAATGAAAATCGATGTATGTAGACAATGCTAAAATTAAAACCAAAGAAGAAATCCTTGGCTGTGATTTTTAAGTTAACATACAAGTTGTGTTTTGTTTCATTTTAATGAGAAAAGTTTGTAAGGTGACCTCTTGAGACAATAAAAGCACCAGCAGGTATTTATTTGCCCATGATAACTTTCAGCTACCAGTGCTTAGGACTTAATCTTACTATCTTGCGTGTCTTCTGGACGGTGATGTGGCTAGGAGCTTTCAGGGTTTACATAAATACTGTTAAATAGGTGCCTGTAGGCCTTCCTTCATGCCAATGAACTCCTGAAACTCAGGAAGGGCTTTCAGAATGCTAAGAAAACAGGAAAAATACATGCTCACACACACAATTACTTTGTATGACTAATCTGTTTTGTTGTATTTTTAAAGAATGGAGAATGTGGATTGCAATCTATGGAAGAATGTGTGTAGAGCAAACACGCTATAGATTTATGTCCCAAAATAATTCCTCATTTCCTTAAAAATGGTAAATGATAAAATGCTGTGTCTGTCAGTATGTCTGTCTAAATTTATATTGAGAGCAATGGGTCAATAGAAGTTGTGTGTGCGGTAAAGTCAGTTATCATGTTCCAGGCACCGTTAGGATTTCTTACAAATTTATTTCTTTCATTGTTTTTTCTGTGAAATCCTGAAAGTTTAGCCTCAAATAATTAATTTTAAAAACATTTAAGAACATGCATCATAATAGATGTTGCATAGTTTCATCTTACCACTGATGCTGTGCTTGCTTTGGTGAAATATGAAACTGTATTGTCCTGTTAATTGTGTATAAAGGACTGTTCGTATGAGTTCAGCTGTTCACATTTCTTTGCACTTTTGGACACTTAGCTTAGCACACTTACCTGGATATGGATTTAAGACTTTTCAAACTAAGGCTTTAAAAGGTGATCCCTTGCTTTCTATTTCTACTTTGTTGTGTTAATGTAGAAGGCTTTGCTCATATGCATATGTAAAATTTGATACATTGTGTATGTAATTGTATGTGTGTAATGGTGAAATGTTAAAACTAAGCATCTGATTGTCTGGAAAAAGTTAAGCTACAAAGTTGATTAACTACAGTATTGCTGCATTTCTAATGTAAAAAGAATACACCTTAATAAAAAGTTTGCATCTGCTAGCAATTGAATCACCAATCAACTAATTTATTACTGAAGTAAATTTTACCAATGAGAAATGTAGGGTAGGGTGGGACTATTCTGAAATAAGGTATGGTGCATGTGTCATAAAAATGACTCTTCCACTCAAGCCTTAGCTACAAGGCAGTATAGCAGTAATTCAGCAGCAGAGGTTGTGTATGCAACGTCACTCCCTACATAATGATCAAAATTTGTGAAAACAGTGTATCCAGTGAGCCAAGTGTCATACAACCAAACCCGTTGGATTGCACCAAGGGTAGAAACTGCGTAGCATACTGGTTGATTTTTCCATGCGCTACACTTTTTTCTGAACTCTTGTGTGATTGTTGTCTGGTTTGTTTTTTGTGATTAAAAAAATTCTTCGTAGAATGGAATCTGGCCTTCTCAGACATATTCCTTTGAAAAATGGATGGCTTTGAAGAGTTCTGTTTTAAATAGGTTGTCATAGAAATAATTTCAATCATGATATTCCGTTGTTTTATGAACATCTCTAATTAAATTTAAGATAACTTCTCAGGGAATACTACCATATTATTTATTCTGACAGCCAGAGAAATAAGTATGTTGCATCAGTCTTGAATGCTTGCTGATCTGAAGCATTTAACATTTGTTTTCCTGATGACAGAGGTTCCAGGGCTATGTTAATTACATCTTTCAAATTCTGGATAATTTTTTTTTTTTCTAGGGACCATACCTTAACATTACTATAAAGTAATTTTGGGAGATTTGTAATCTGGTATCACTGAAAACCATCTACGGAGGTTAATCAACGCAGTGTCTGTAGCTGGCAAAAGTAGTTATCTGATTAAAAACAAAATCAAAGTGCATTTGGTAACCATTTTCTGGTGACAAGCCTAGTTGGCAAATTGCAGCCAGAAAGATATTGCACAAGGTAACAGCCTAAAGTTCAGTGTAGCACCAGGACATCTCTTATAAAATATATATATAAATATATAAATATGTATTTACATATACGCGCGTGTGTGTGTATGCATGTGTATGTACACACAGACATTTTTAGCTTCATGTGTTTTGTGTGTGTATGCTTTATACACAGTTTTTGTCTTTCTGGAGGAGGGTAAAGGGAGAGCCTTGAAAAGTCCTTCCCCGCTCTTATCAACATAGCAGCCTCAGCTGCCCTCCTTGGATCCCCTGCCAGGGTTGCTATCATCTTCTGATCAAATATTAATGTGTGATTCTCTGCTTGCTCACTAATCCAAAGCCAATTAATATTATCTGTCAATTATTTACAG